GCATGGCTGGTTGGGGAATTCTGGGAGTTGAAGTCCACATATCTTAGAGTTGTCAAGGTTGAGAAACACTGGATTAGTCAATGCAAAAGCATGCAAAGTAAGGTTATTTAGATCAAAGTATTTAATCTACAAAAAAGATAAAGCCTTCTCCAAGTTGAGCTAGACTTCTAGTGATTTCGTCCATGTAGCTTTCTTTGCAACAATGTAAAAGCTGTTTGCTATTTCTTCTGGATGTTTAAAACTCCCAGCCTAGCCAACACTTCTAGTATTTCCTGGTGATCTCCCACCCAAATTCACTTCTTAAACTTTTTGCATGCAAAGTTTGGCCATTGTTATTTCGATACTTTTTCAATGCTAAACACACTCCAATTGTATCATGTACAGGCCCCAAGTCGCTAGATTTCCTGCTGACTGCCCTTTTCTTGCAACACTTCCTATGATGGCTAATCAAAATTTTGCAGCGGAATCAGGAAAATGGTAAGATGGTGATACATCCTGATTCGCTAAGGACATCTCCCTTGCCAGGTGGGCCAGGGATTAAAAAAAAAAAAAAAATCGAGAGCCTTTTCATATGGACGCACCAGGGGGCTCACCTCCTCTTCGCCGTGGGGCTTCTCCCCAATTAATCGAGGGGCCTCGCCTTTCTCCTGCTTAATAGCCACAAGGAAACTCCCATGCTGAGTTTTACTTGCAGCATTCCTGTAATCCAAAGTTACAAGCAAAGATTTCCACAGCAGCAATGGAGAACTTCAAAACATTCCAAATCTATCATCAAAACAGGAACCGCTTTAGGGACCTAGCTGAAGAGTTAAATGAATCAAGCGATATGAACCGAAAAGAAAATTGCATAAAATGCACAAGGTACAGGATTACTTGTTTAGAAATAAGCCCTATGGAACTCAATAAGACTTTTGATTAGCTTTGAATATCTTTAAAACATTATATTTAAAACTTAAATATATAAAGTGAGTCCCAGTGTTAAATGAAAAACAAGTAATCCTAGCTGAAAAGACTGTTTTAATACAATGAGTCACTGGGCAGGTCCACAATTTATTTAAAGTTGAGAATTTTAGCATAAATATTAAACCACTACACAAACAAGTTGTATGCTAATGCACACAGCTCATTTGCTCCATTCATTCACTCAGAAAGGAAAGAGACAGAATGCAGAGTCATGTTTTACTGAGCCTAAACAGCCAAGATAAAAAGCAACTAATATACAGGTTTAAATTGGTGTATGATCCTGGCTTATTTGGGCACAAATAAAATAGAAGTTTGGATTCAGTCCTTAGAGTAAGTTATCCATGTCGAATTTGCTTACTTGTTGATGCAAAGAGGAAGAACCAGGAGGCAACATTCTCTAGGATATAGCTTGCTCATGTGATGGGTTAATAAGCCAGCTTGGTATAGTGGGTAAACTACTGGTCTAGAAACCAGGAGACCATGAGTTCTAGTTCTCCCTTAAGCATGAAAACTGGCTGGGTGACTTTAGGCCACTCCTTCATTCTCAGTCCAACCCACCTCACAGGGTTGTTGTTGTGGGGGAAAAAAGAGGTAACAGCATGATGTACACCCCCCTAAGTTGTACAAAATAGAGGCACGATATAAATCTGTAAATAAACAAACTTTTGTGTCTGACAGTGCCATGCAAATATAATCAGGACTGGTAAATTCCAAAAACAGAAGAGGAGGCTGAATAGGATTTTAGAAGCTGGCCAAAAAGGGGGGGCAGGGGGATTTTGCACATACTCAAGATGAAGGATTCCACATTTTGAGTATTTAAACATTGTACAACATTTCTGACAGTTCAAAATAGGTTCAGGGAAAGTTTTAGACACAAATTGGAATTTTGAAAAAGATCGCATGCATAACTATAGCGTCTGTCTGTCTGACACACACATGCAAACACATAACCCAGGTCCCCTCTTTCCAAAATAAAAGGTGTTCATCACTCACAGGAGTCCAGTAGATTGCTGCTTGGAGCTCTGTGACATTTCTTTTTCTTGAATTTAAAAAAAACCACAGATGTCCACTTAAACTAAAGGACCTAAAAAGGACATGTGGAAATGATTACGGTGTAAACAACAATTAGCTCGGGTAGGCAATAATTCATGCAGAAGATTAAATGGCTCTTTGAATCTCTCTCTGAACTTCTTTTTTGAATGCCTAAATGCTTCAAATGAAAAATCCATGATGAATCTAGCATCTTGCCTCTTATAACAGCTGAGCAAAAGCCTTCAGGGCTTGCAAAGGAGACAAGATACCTTACTTGTTTTTTTTTTATCAGTAACTGTGTTTCAGAGGTAAGCTGACCCTGTAAGGGAGGTTCCATTTGCTTAGGTTAAGTTCAGATGAAGGCCCCGCTGGATCATTCTGAGGTCCAATCTATCTGTTATACAATACAATACTTTAATGACCAAGTATAAAATATACACAAGGAATTTGTCTTCGGTGACGAACAGCA